ACAACACAAAACAAATTAGAAATAGCTTGGTAGCGATCACCTTTCCCAGGGGTTATTATCATCTATAAACTCCGTAATATTAAAATAACCCTTTTTATACAAACTTAGTTTAAGTACACAAAGTTCAAAATAAGTTTTTGATCTTTGTGTACTTACGTCAAATTTTGTATATTTTCTGGGATTTTGTTGTAAAAGTGTATACATCGTCTCAAGAATGAATTACTGACTCTGTGGAGTCGAGTAACTGGTACCGAAATGGCGGGGTATTGAAATTATGTAGTGGTTATCTTAGCACGGCCTTGCCTATGAGTTTTTTTGCCTACACAAATTTACATTGCAATGTAAAAAATAAAATTCTTTTATTCATGATTCATGTAATTTAAGAAATTTTGAAAATAAAAATTAAATTTTAGGTTAGCTGGTAGAGAATGCATATAGCATTAAGCTCGCCTTTTGTACAAAATCTTTGGTGCAATAAAGAATAAAATAAATAATAATAATAATAAATTAAACAAATAATACATAAAAAAATTAGTGATTCGATTATTTGAATATTTTTACCAATCATTTGAATATTTTGCCGACTATTTGCATAACAATGAATTTTAATCATCCAAACGTAACGTCATTGTTAAAAAATTAATACTGGTAATTTTTTATTATTTTGCTTTGTTTGAAAAATTCAAATTTAAATTTGTGATAAAATACTATACACATTGTAATGAAATAAAGATAACTTCATAATTCTTAGGATTTCCGTAAAAGGTTATTTTAAATTGTGTGAGTACGCTTGTGCAAAGTTATTGCGGAATGATTAATGTGAAATGTCAAAATGTATTTCTTAGATTTGTTTGACTATAGTTGACTTAACTAACATTATTTCTTAACAATGTTATGCAAGTACCCATATTCATAACTATTTATGACAATCTATGATATATAACAAGCTATATGTATGCCAGTATTTTTTTCCTTCTTCTGCACCAGCTCATGTACAGCTGGATGAGGACCTCTAACATTGCAGGGAGAATTTGTCTTAATCACCAAGTTTGGTTCTTAGGAAGTAGATTAGTGATCACAGTGCCTGACATCTTGTACTTTTAATGCTGCTACTCTACTGGTTACTGGTCTGTGTATTTTAGGTCTAATATATATCGCCATCTATCGCTGTGTGGTAGCAGCATAAGAGAATACATTATCCCTTATTGTCCCATGGATGTAGTAAAAGACAGCTATATTATATGCTATAAAAATCTCATAGCCTCCAATAGTTAGTATTAATTAGTCCCAAAAAAGTATTTTAATAAGGTTTTTGAAAAAAAAAATATAGTACTTTTATTTCTCAAAAATACTTTTTCATAAATTTGTAAACTTAATAATATTATTTAATTATTAAATCTTAAAATATGATAAGCCCATTCTTACCTGGCTGCCATCATAGTCCATGTTATATTTGTCAGAATATTCAACCCATCGATTGCGACCATAGAAATAACGAGGATTCTCATAATACTTGTTACCAAACTTATCCTCGCCTACAAGAACCCCATCCTTCAACTCATCCTGTCTAAAAATATAAAATACAATGACATACATAAGTCTCACACCTGTCATCTATGCATACATGCTTGTCGGTAAGGGAGAGTCTTAATTTGGCCCATCTTCAATAAATCACCAATTTGGTCGATAAACATCCATCTTGGGCGTCCTTTGCGAACTCTTATTAAAACGTAAATATTATTATAATATGGACATTTTATTATAAACACAATTGAAGTAACTCCTTCATTCCTTAGTGTTATTTATTTTATATCTGCCCACTGCAACTTAATTGGTATTAGATACTTATGAAGTTCAAATTACATTACTTAGTCAAGATATAAAATTCATCAGTGAAGTAGAAGTAGAAGTAAAAGCAAATATGAAAATAAATAATCCCTTTATTTGATTTCCATGACATATTTTTCTTAAGTAAATAAATAATTATATTACCGAAAATGTATTTCAACGTAGATAAAATGATCAATGCATTAAGTAAAGAGAGAAAACAATCATATATAACCTAGCCACAAATTACATAATAATGGATTTCATTCATATATTCACCTGTACAGCTTGTACAAAGATGCTCTTATTCCACCATTTTGTTTAATAATGTTAAATAGATTGGATAATTTATCAAGGGCAAGATATTTGCCTAAAGACATTTTACTAAAATTTCGTAAATTGTTCCTTGATATTTCGGTTCAGTAAATTGTATTGTATACAATATACATCGTCTGACAGCTTACAGATGTCAACCATTCAACCATAGATTATTGAATATATACCACAGAGTACCTTTGTATAAACTGAAAATATATACTAGAGAGTAGCGAGATAAATACATGGAAGTCTTGTTGGCCGGCCAGCCATTTGCAAATAATGCGCATCTGCTAAGGCATTAGTAGATAATTTCCGCGATATCGGCGCGTGGCGATTAAATTAGTAATTTCTCCAAAATATTGCATGAGAGCTATGTATAAAACTTATGTAATTTGAATTGCTATATTATTTGCTATTATTCTGTACTTATCTTAGTTGAATACAGCCTAATAGATTTTATTAAGCCGATTTACCAAAGTAGTTATTCTTTTTAGTATTTTGTACATAATTTGTAAAAGTTAAACAGAAAAATCATACATTTTTATAAAATAAATATAATTTATTTTCATCAATATACACTAATTTATAGTAAAAAACCAAAAAAAAAAACACACATTCCTGTATATTTTTTACACCAAAAGTTTTTTACAATATTAATGAACGCCAACCCAAGCGTCGCACAAAAAATAGCATATACCTATTGTATTATAGGAGTCGCAGAAAGGAATAAATAATACGCCTGATCACTTGAGGTCTGCTTTACTACAGTTACAGCACGAAAAAGCCACCCAATCTTTTTTTTTGCGCCCGAAGCAATTGGAAAGGGCTACTCTTTATGTAGGGAGGCGGAAAATGCGTTACGCATACCACGATAGCCGGTCTATCGTGGTTATGAGGGACTCACTGCCTACCGGGGGAACCTAAGTGATACCCTCTAAAGACCGCCTTTGGGGACTGGCAACTGGCTGTTTAAGCTTCTTATGCCGTATCGGGAGCGACACTCTTTTGGGAAAAGAGGGCGCAGCCACTCAATTATTATTGCAATCGTTTAAATATCACACAATGATGGTAGTCTATCCCTACTACCTATCAAAACTGAACCTAGCAACAGTTCGAATGTGCAAGAATTATACAATTCAAATACTTTTATAATATGAAAATAAGTAATCAACTGTTATAAATGTTACTGATAAGTCCATTAATTTTACAAACATTTAAGAAATGAAATTACTTATATAATATTCTTTGCAAATCTCTCAAATTCTAAATTAAAAATAAACTGAGAAAATTATCTATGACAATACAATGACTTATAATCAATTTTATATTTGTAATTACGAAAAATAATATAAAAGAAAAAGATAATTTCATAATTAATATTTAAATGATTTTAGTAGCAATTATATAACAATCACTGATAACAATTGTTACCTTAATTTTGAGAAAGGAGCGAGTCAAGTAGCGTACGATAATTTTAACATTAAGTATGGTTCAAGTTCTTCATTTAGACAAAGTTTCATTTCTAAAAAGTATGTAATGTATTTTTAAATCAACAATAGAGATAAATGTAAGGTAAGTAGGTATAACGACCGTTTATGTTCGATTTTTTTTATAAAAAGGATTCATATCCCTAATTTATAAAATAAAAACTGTTGGTTATTAACCCTTCCATGTTAAAATAGCACCAAACTTCACTATTTATTTGATTTACGAATAAAGGAGAAAAACCGGGACGGACAAACACATAAAAGTGACATTCACGTACGACTGAAACACAGGCTGTTTATTCGAAATTTTTAAACATTGTAGCACTTTAGTAGCTTTGTATCGCTTCCTCTTTCTTTAGTGTATAATTTTATATAAGTAAAAGTGTGATAGCAATCATTGTCGCCGGTTACTTTACCCGCCAAATACCCAGGCGCGGATCGGCCAGAAACTGGTCGCTTGCCAGACACGCGTAATAAACCATCGGCCAAAATTTGGCCGGTCGCCAGACAAGGGGTTAGAAAACAGGAGAACGATCGCTGTAGAAAATAGTGTCCCAGAAATATGGACAAAAAAGCGAGGCGTTGCAATCGCTAAGTTACCTCAATAAAAGTGGGCTATTGTGCGCGAATTTGAAATGATTATAATATTATTCAAACAAAATATTGAATTATTATTTATTAAAAATAAATTATACATTGTTTTTTATAATTTTAATTATTATAAATATTTACAAATATAAATTATTGATTTATTATTATATTATTTCACCATTTTTTAATGTTTCTTTTTGTCAATAACTAAAAAATTACTTCGCAGATACTACTTACCGACGGCAGCGCGGCTATAAATTCTACAAATTTTCAGGGACAAGCGGGCTATGCTTTAGCACTGTTCTCTAACCTCCATGTATTTATCCATTCACATCCAAAATTTGTAGAATTTATAGCCGCGCTCATGGATCAACTCAAGATCTCAATTCAACATAAATGCGTGAAAATTCACTTGCGCTAAACTCAGGTTGCAAAGAATCAAAATGCAAATGCGTTGTCACCCCTGAGGAATAAGATGGAATGCCTTGATTCCAGCAAAAAGGATCGTTGCCCTATGCAAGGAACAATAAGTAGGTTTGTGTTAAGCTGAACCAGTGCACTTAAATGTACTTTATCACCACTTACATCAGATGACATATAAGTCAAGCATTGGCTTTTATTAGGTTAAAGAAAACATTAAAAACATTGAACTTTAACTTAAATGTTAGAGTTTTGATGGGCACTTGACCACCTGCAGATTACTATTCCTGATTTATCGTTTAAAAATGGTTTGGTAAAAGAATTTTACAAGTGTTTCGATGGCCATATAAATCATTTTTATTGCTTTTCCCGCTTTTTCTTTTTATTTTTCTTAGCAGTATTTCCCTCCAACTCTCTCTGTTCTGTTGGTATGATGTCTACAACCATGTCTTCTTTCTTCTTGCTTTTCTTCTTCTTTTTCTTCTGAATGTATATTTCTGCTATATCACCACTACTTACGGTCTCTGAATCAATAGCTTTTCTTTTACTTTTATTCTTTATGATTTTAACTGATTGGTCGCAATCACCAATAATATCATTTATCGTATTTTTCCGTGTTACATCAGAATTTTCAGTCCCAAATTCAGTATGTTCATTTAAGCCCTTAACAACATTATCATTTACAGATGCAACTTCCATACCAATATTAATTAAATGTTTCTTCTTTTTCTTTTTAACACCAGTTGTATCATTATCAAGGGAATTATTATCAAGAAACTGTGAATCATTTTCATTCAGCGACCCTTTTTTATTTCTTGTTTTTGCATGAGAATAACCAATATATTTTGCATGATTTAAAAGTAATTGCTCTTGTTGCTCTATTCTCGCTAATTTGCCTAAAGCTTTGAGCCCATGGCGTGCACCCCTGCAAAAAAAGTCAATTAATATTCATGTTTAAGTCTAAGTTAATAAATTAATTAATACACAATATGGTTTAATCATACTATCAACTTTAAAGATTTTTTTCCCACAAAAGAAGTTACTTAAAGAGCCACAGTCCTTTTCAAAAATTTCTCATTTGTTGTCAAATTTCATTCCTTTACATTTTAGTTTCCCATTGTTTTCCTTGGGACGTTGTACTTTTTATTGAAACAGACTCTAGTTTAAGCCTAAAAGTAATCATAAACTACCTTTTGTAACAAGATGGAAGGTATTCCTTATTAAAAAAAAATTTTTTCAGAAACTATTTCACAGTCACAGATGATCGACATTCTATATAGAATCTTATAATGTACCCAAATACAGATGAGAAATTCAAAAATAAAAAGCAAAATAGAATTTTACCATGACAACCAATTTGATTGAAAATCTTAAATGAAGGAATTAATTGCTAATGGTAGGTGCTTTTGGTTCTTCTTAATCATTGGTCTGTAAAAGAAGCTTTCAGCGGCCTCTTCAGGTGTAAGGAAGATTTGGCTTAAACACCATGCTTGGCAGAATTGGCTATGGCAGTATTCGGCAGATGACTATACGGCAGCAGACTTTTCGCACCTTTGATGTTGCTCCAAATTGCCCATTTAGATATCTTACGTGTGGCATAAACTAAGAGGCTTTATGGATTTTATGCTGATACAACACAGCTCAGCTATATCTTGCAATTTTTTTAATAAACCTAGGCAAATATTTATTCGTTATATATACTGGATGACCTTTTTTACTGTCTGGAAAAAAAATATGGGACATGTGAACGGAGTACGAGTCAATGGCACTGATATTTTACAAAAATAAAAACAAAAATTTGAATTAAATAAATAAATTAAAATCTATCCAAATTCAGATCATATTGTTACTTTACCATTTGCAATAAAATAATAAATTTTGTAGGCATCTTTGACCTTGTCACTTCGCAGTATCACAGACTAGGAATATATGCTATAATTTCAATTTCGATAGATTTTAATTTATTTAATTCAAAATTTCTGTTTTCATTTTTTATAACTTTTACTCTGTTCACATGTGACACCCTATTTTTTTCCAGACAGTAAAAACGACCGAAGTCCGCAATAAAACATTAACGTGCGCCCAGCGAAGCTAGCGAGTATCAGCTAGTGCTTAATAATATGTTAAATATGGACAGGAAAAGCCTATGTAAATTATAACCAACAAATTATAATATTTTACAGATATCTTATCAAACTATATTTCGTTGATTTTATAATAAAACCTGTATACATTTATTTACTTTAATTATGTAGATCTTAATGAGTTCCAAAGGGAAAACTTAAAGCTTTTTGGTATATTACAATTATGTTTACTTTTATGTTGACTTATAATTTTATTGGTATACGGCATTATGACCTGGCAACATATAACGCACGCACCCTGAGGACTGACGAGAAGATACTGGAGCTGGAAAAAGAGGTAGACAAGTTGCGCTGGCATATTATTGGATTATCAGAGGTCCGAAGAGAGGGGAAGGACACGGTAATTCTCGAGTCCGCCAACTTGTTCTATCACCGGGAGGGCGACCATCTGTCCCAAGGAGGTGTCGGATTTATCGTCCACAAGTCTCTCGTCAACAACGTTGTAAAGATTGGGAATGTGTCGACGAGGGTCGCGTACCTGATACTCAGAATTACCAAACGGTATTCACTGAAGGTCATACAGGTTTACGCACCACCCTCTAAATAAAAAAATGTATGAGGATATTTCCAGAGCCATGCATTGCTCCAAAACCCACTACATGGTGTTGATGGGAGACTTCAACGCAAAACTAGGCACAAGAGAAAGCGGTGAGCTAAAGTTAGGGAAATTTGGATTAGGGCAACGGAACCGTAGGGGCCAGCAGCTGGCCGACTTTATGGAGAAAGAGGGACTCTTTATGAGGAACTCTTTCTTCCAGAAGCGGCCCCACCGCTTCTCATAAGGGAAGTGAGAGATAGAGTTCATCATAAGGGAAGTGGACCTGGTCGAGCCCCGACGGTTCGACAAAAAATGAGATTGACTTCATTATGACGACCAGATGCCAACTATGATAAAATGGATGAACTATGCGATATGATGTATGATAGAGGAATAGATGTGTTATGCGTAAATGAGACGAAAAGAAAGGGGAAGGATGTCACTACACATGGCATGTATAGCGCATACTGGTCTGGTGTAGACGAGATCGAGCGGGCATGCCAGGGAGTAGGTATCATCCTTTCAGAAAGAATGGGCCAATGTGTGAAAGAGTACGAATGTGTAAGCACAAGACTGCTATGGATGCGAATGAAAGTGGGCTTAAAGAAGTTGTTTGTGTTAGGGGTCTACGCCCCAGACATGTCTAAGCCCACTTATATCCGAGAGCAGTTTTGGGAAATGGTAAGGATGGTGTTAATGAAGTGTAAGGGAAATGAAAATATTATTATGCTAGGAGATTTTAATGGAAGGGTTGGGGTCAGGAGGCTTGGTTATGAAAGGATATTGGGAACGTTTGGTGATGAAAGTATAAATGAGAATGGTGAAAGTCTCCTCACCATATGTATGGAAAAGAATCTTTTTGTGACGAACACTTGCTTTCGCCACAAGAGGATTCACATGTATACTTGGGAAAGAGGTGACGATAGAAGCATGATAGATTTCATAATTGTGGATGAAAGATTGAGGGGCGCAGTGGTAGATACGAGAGTTTACCGGGGTTCTAACGTAGGAACGGATCATTATTTAGTTTTATGCCGAATTAATGGTCTATTCAGGCGTTGGCGCCATCGATCGTCTGTGTCTACCACTGCGTTACAGCGTATTAGAACAGAAAGGTTACAAGATGAAAGTGATAAAAACAAATTCAAATGTAGACTGAAAGAAAATATAAGTGGTTTGGATGAATTATGTATGAAGGAGTTAGACTTGGAGAATATATGGCAAAATGTAAAGAAAGGTTTAGTGGATGCAGCTACCGATATATGTGGTGTTAGTAAGAGAAAGAATGAAAGGAAAAATAATACGTTATGGTGGGATGATGAGATACGTATGGAAGTTGAAGCAAAGAAGAGAGCATGGCTAGATTTACTAGCAACAAAGGCTGCTAATTCTAGTGGTACGAATGGTGATATTGAAAGAAAAAAGGCAGTCTTTAGACATCCTAATAAGAGAGTAAAAGAAGTAGTTGAAAGAAAAAAGCAAGAAAGAAAGAATAAGAATGATAGAAGAATATCGGATAACTTCCAGGCAAATATTAAAATGTTCTGGAAACTTGTAAGAAATGCCAGGGGACATTCAAAACAGCCTATGATGAATGCTATAAGAGACGAGAATGGCTATATTCTGAATGATGAAGTTTTGAGTTTAAAGAGATGGAAGGAATATTTTGAAAGCGTGTTTATGAGTGAGGAGACAATGTGTGTACTAAGTGAAGTAGACCAGAAGTGAAGTAGAACACCGAAAGAAGAGGAAAGAGGTAGCGAGATAAGTATAGATGAAATAATGAAAACAATGAAAAGCATGAAAGCAGGTAAGGGTGCCGGATATGATAGAGTTTCTAAGGGCTGGAGAGGAAGTGGTGGCAGGCCTGCTGCACACCTTGTTTAATTTATGCTGGGAACTGAAGCGGGTACCGGTAGACTGGTGCAAAGCCGTGATAGTCCCAGTATATAAAGGAAGAGGGTCGCAGCAGGACTGTAAAAACTACCGTGGCATCAGCCTTCTTAGCATTATGGGAAAACTGTATGCTAAGGTACTGATTGAAAGGGTCATGAAAGAAACTCATGGAAAAATTTGGGATGTGCAAGCGGGATTTAGAAAGGGAATGGGATGTACAGATCAAGTCTTTTCCATGCGCATGATCGCGGAGAAGTTTCTGGCCAAAAACCAAAAGGTTTTTTTGTGCGTTCATGGACTTGGAAAAGGCCTATGACAGAGTGGATAGGGATTTGCTATGGCAAACACTGAACTCATTTGGGTTGAGCGCTGGCTTGATACATGCATTGGAGTCTCTTTATAGGGACTCTAGTGCTTGTGTTAGGATCAACGGGGTCTACTCGGACTGGTTTCACATTCATAAAGGTGTCAGACAAGGCTGTGTGGCTTCCCCCGTGGCTGTTCAACCTATTTATGGACAGTTGTTTGCAAAATTTGAAAGTTGAAAAATGCGGATTAAGAATGGGTGAGCTAACCGTCAAATGCCTTTTGTACGCCGATGATCAAGTTATTCTTGCGTCGTCGGCGGCCGAGTTGCAAATGATGGTTACATTAATGAACGGATCATTAAAAGAAAGGGGTATGAAAGTGAACGCAAGTAAGACGAAGGTTATGGTTTTTGAAAGAGAAGAAAGTAAAACGATTTGTGAAATAAGAATAGAAGGGGAGTTGATCGAGCAAGTAGATGAGTTTGTATATTTGGGCTGCGTATTTAGTAGGGATGGGAGATATGATAAGGATATAAAACGACGAGTGAATGCGGGAAATAGAGTAAATGAGGCCTTGCACTCTATTGTGAAGAGTCTAAATGTGTCGAAAAAGGCACGTATGGCAATTCACAATGCTGTGTTGGTCCCTTTAACGTATGGTAGTGAAAGTTGGGTGTGGAAGAAGAAGCACGAGAGTAGAATAAACGCAGTCGTTAAGGAGTATGTTAGGGCTGAATCTGAATGACAGGGTAAGAAATTGTGTAATAAGAGAAGAGTGTGGTTTGCAAGATGATGTTGTGACCAGGATTAAGAAAGGAATGCTTCGGTGGTTTGGTCATGTGGAAAGAATTAATGAGGAAAGAGTGACAAAGAAAATTTATGGTGCAGAAGTGAATGGCAGAGTCGGAAAGGGCCGTCCTAGGCGAAAATTTATCGACCAAATTGGCGATTTATTGAAAACGGGCCAAATTAGGAGTACCCTTAACCGACGAGCATGTATGCGTAGGTGTATGGATGTGAAGGAGGCAAGAGAGGTGTGTCAGGATCGTGCCAAAAGGAAGTCTGTAGTCTCTGCCTACCCCTCTGGGTGACAGGCGTGAGTGTTTATGTTATTTATGTTATGCCAACTATTCAGTGATGTCTCAGTGATCGCAAGGGTGAAAACTGGCAGCGATCACTTAATGGTCAGAGGCACACTGAACCTAAACGTCAAGTTGGAGAGGTCTCGTCTAATGAAGTCAACGCTCCGACCCCTCGTGTTCTAATCCAGAATCCCGAGTTACGTAACCGCTTTCAGTGCCTAGAAGATTGCAATGCAGTGGACGATATGAATGACAAGCTCGTGGAAACTGTCCATGCGGTCGGGGCTAAGTTCTGTAAGACCCGCCGCAGAAGAACACAAAAACTCTCCAATCACACTCATAATCTCATGGCTGTTAGATGGGAGATGAGGCTGCAATCGTCAACAGATTTGACAGCATACAGGCAACTGAACAGACAGATCTCCAAATGCATGCGGCGAGACTTGCGCAACTTTAATACTGTTGGTATTGAAGAGATCGAGCGGAACCAGGGCTCCAAAGTCTTTGCCAGAGATCTGTCTGCCAGAAAGAGCCAACTGTCCAAGCTGAAGACTAAGCGTTTCCGGGACACCTGAGATTTTGAGTGAGATTGAGAGGTTCTGTGGGCAGCTGTACACATCATCGTGGAGCCACACGCAAGTGTGAGTAACGATCCAAGAGCAAGTCTTATCCAACACTATTCCGATGATATCCCTCTCTCTGAGTCTGAGTGACATTAGAATATCTGTTTAGCCTAATGGTTTACTGGGAGAGAATGCCCTATGGCATTAAGTCCGTCATATGTACTTTTTTGTGTATGAAAGCATAAATAAATAAATAAATAAAAATAAATAGCTCTCCAGCACCTTAAAAACGGCAGGGCCCCAGGCGAGGATGGAATTACAGCGGAGCTTCCGAAAGCGGGTGGAAAACCGGTACTTCAAGTCCTTCAGAGGCTTTTTAATTCCGTCCTCCATGGTGGCACTACTCCGGAGGCGTGGAGCAGAAGTCTTGTTTTTCAAGAAAGGTGACAACGCACTCTTGAAGAACTACAGACCGACATCCCTTCTGAGCCTGAGTTTTCGAGAGTCATTACGAATCGTCTCGCACGCAGACTCGACGACTTCCAGCCTCCCGAACAAGCCGGTTTCCGAAAAGGCTTTAGTACCATAGACCACATACATACCCTTCAGCAAATTGTACAGAAGTTCGAAGAGTACAATCTGCCACTTTGCCTGGCGTATGTGGACTATGAGAAAGCCTTTGATTCCGTCGAAATTTGGGCAGAGCTACAGTCTCTTCAGCAGTGCCAAGTTGACTGCCGGTATATCGAAGTGCTGAAGTGTTTATACAGTAGGGTTACAATGGCTATCCGAGTACAGAACCAGAGTTCGAAACCTATCCAAATGCAGAGAGGTGTAAGACAGGGTGACGTTATATCCCCGAAATTCTTTTTTCGTTTTCGTTTTCAAGCTACTGGACTGGAAAGGATACGGTATTAACATCAATGGCGAGTACATCACTCACCTTCGATTTGCCGACGATATAGTCCTTATGGCAGAATCGCTGGAGGACCTAAGCACTATGCTCAATGACCTCAATGGTGTCTCCCAATGAATAGGTCTTAAGATGAACATGGACAAAACAAAGATCACGTTTAATGTCCATGTCACATCTATGCCGGTAGTTGTTGAGAGCACTAAGCTCGAAGTTGTTGACGAGTACGTTTACCTGGGACAAATATTCCGACTGGGTAAGTCCAACTTCGACCTAGAGGTCAATCGACGGATTGAACTCGGCTGGGCAGCGTTCGGGAAATTACGACGCATCTTCTCGTCAGGCATACCTCAAAACCTGAAAACTAAGTTGTACAACCAGTGCGTGTTGCCAGTGATGACCTACGGAACCGAGACGTGGTCCTTCACTGCTGGCCGTATGAGGACGCTCAAAGTCACTCAGCGAGCTATGGAGAGGGCTATGCTCGAAGTTTCTCTGCGTGATAAACATAGAAATGAGGATATCCGCAGTAGAACCAGAGTGACCGACATAGCCCAACGGATTAGTAAGCTGAAGTGATTACCCAGTTTTTAGACTAGTAAGCTGAGCCATATAGCTCGAAGAAACGACAACCGTTGGGGAAAAAAGGTTCTCGAGTGGCAGCCTCGTACCGGTAGGCGAGGTGTAGGGCGACCCCCCACTAGATGGAGTGACAACCTGATAAGACATGCAGAAAGTCGATGGATGCAGGTAGCTCAGGACCGTGCTATGTGGCATACCTGGGGGAGGCCTATGTTCAGCAGTGGACTTGTGAAGGGCTGTAATGATGATGATGATGATGACAGCATTATACAAAGATGACTTACTTATGTGCTGTTCTACCTTCACAAGCAGCAAATAATTCCTCATCACTTAGTTTAAATACATCCTTCTTAGTTTCTTCATTATCAGACTCAGCTTCTTTTACATTTTCAACTTTGGACTCACCATTACTAAGAATTGCTTTTTTAATGAAATATTCAGAATATTGTTGCTCAGTACTTGTGTTTTTTTGGTTTTTCTTTATCTTCCAGGTGTTGTTAGTTATTACAAAATCTGATGGATCCTTACATTTAATTCTTTTTATTTTTCCATTCTTTTCTTCCACCTAAAATAACCAAAAGAATCAATATTTTTAACAAAATTCTCAATGTGATGCCATAAGTGATGACTGATGATATTTCATATTTATGATATCAAATATTACAATCTTGAAAAAAATCAACTTTTTAATCAAATCATTCCCAATCATCTTCATCGTGTTAATTATTTATATTGTAATAACCAAAAATATTTTAAAAAATTCAATCATGAATAAGAACGGTCGGCAAGCGCAAATAATTTCGTACATTATGTAACATTTTTGCTTGGTGGTCAAACATTTTAAGAAAAAGTAATATATTACGAATAATCTGTAATAAATTGCGAAGTAATTGAGAATAAAAATTTAAATATATTTATTATGCTTAAAAATAAGTAGGTAATGTGTATCAAGTACATTTATATATATACCTAAAGTGAGTCAGTTTTAGTTGCCTCTACCAGAGATACAAGCGCCTTGTATAAAGGAGAGGTAGATGGAACTAGTTACATTTCAGTTACGATAAAGATGACAAAATAAGGAACACATACAACAAACAACTTCAAAAACTAATTTAACCTAGTCTAAAAACTGGGTAATCACAAGCACCTCGCAATAGGAATTGTTGTTAAAACTGGAGCTCAAAAATGAATAATTTTTAATCATTTTTATAACTAAATTGTTTGCAATATCTGATGATGGCGACACTGCATAAGTGCGAGGGCAAAAGCAGTATATTGATATATACCCGAGTGACAGAAATACTGACACTCACAAGTAATGACGGGTACTTCGTGACGGCGGCCGGGCTTTAGTTTTTATATATATTCTGGGACTTTTCAGTAAGTGTGTACTCTGTCCCAGAATGAATACAATACAAAAAAATTTGGTCATAAGTGCTTTCGCCGTGTCATAAGAGACTCCACTACCACAAATTATTAATTTTTTTAAATTTTTGACAACATACAGTTTTTCACCGTTTGTGAAATATGTACCATTTTAATTTTTTTGCGTGACAGGACTACCCTAGCTAACAGCTGCCGAATGACCAACTAACTGCCCCTCGGTAGGGCTCTGCCCGCATCTCTCATAAACAAAAAAAATGAGGTGATCGCTTCCAAGCTGTTTCTAAAATAAATTTTGTAAATAATTTGTACAACCTTTTATATAGTAGTTTACTTTTAAAAAGAAATGTCCCACTGGGATTCTTGCCGGTTCTTCCCAGGACAGAGGTTTTTAGCAAACCAGTTGTAAATTAAAAAATGATATTCTATAAGAATTACATACATGTGATCTATATTTAATAAAAAGTTATTCTATTCTATAATTACAGCCCTTCATAAGTCCACTGTTCAATATAGGCCTCCCCCAAGGAATGCCACTATAAACATGTATTTTATTAAAAAATTTATAACATAAATAGTGCACCTCAAGATTTCCTGCAGCTTTATTATATAAATCATTCCACCAATGTTCAGTAAAATCAGAAGCAGGATCATGACCAACACCTGTCACACTCCTCTTTAGTTTAGGCTTCAGTGCTTCAGAAATTCCATTTTCGTATTTTCCCAAGCCTTTTCCTAAATATAAACAAGAAAAGTTATTAATTTATTATTTCCCTATTAAATTTCATATTAAAAAAGATTGTTTAAGCCTTATGTGCCTGAGTGTACACATAACAGTAAATACTTCACAATATTTGAGGACTGTCTTTTCTAAAATAAACTGTCACATTTTTGTGTGGATTATTCAATATTTAATTTTGTTCCTAAGTGTAACGAATAAAATCTCTGTCTTGTATTATTAATTTAAAAAAAATTAAAAATATGAATAGAAAATTGTCTAATGAATGTACAGTCCACATGATGGTAAGTGGTTACTGCAATCTATGGACACCTGCAACTAAGTTCATATAAAGTAGGCTAGAAGTGCTTTGTCACCCCTAAGAATAAAGATGGAATACTACACTCCCAAATACAGCAGTGCATGCACTACTATTTAGCAGCAGAAATAGTCAAGAGAGCAAAAAAGGAACCATATTTAATAAAATAATATAAGAAAAATAACTTCTTTATCCAGCATACAAATCATTCCTCTGAAAAAGTAGATTTGTGGAAAGGGATTAATGGCGTACATTACATGCTGTACATTATATTACATGAGCCGTGGTAGCTCAGTGGTTAACGCTCGCTGTAAATATAACAGAACGCGAGTAACCCGGGTTCGATCCCTGCCGGCACCAATGAAATTGTTAATTTTAAGTGCTGATTTACCACGTGCTCCGCGGCGAAGGAAAATCGTGAGGAAACCTGCATGTCTGAGGAATAAGAAAAAAAAAATATTTTCGAAGACATGTGAAGTTCGTCAACACGCATTTGGGCAGCACGGCGGACACTTCCTTGCCCTAAACCCTCTCAGAAATGAGGGGAGGCCTGAGCCTAGCAGTGGGACGTATATAGGCTGTAACTTTACTTTACTTTATTACATGCTCAGGCAAGCTTCAATCAATTCTATCAATCATGATTGATGAAAAACGGATGGTGACTGATAGGCGTACATTACGCGTCATGCAGGCATCAATCACTGCATTACACAGTAGTTCATTGGTCAATCACAACCGTAATTGTGGTAAAACTGTCAGCCTGCATGAGCGTGTGATGTACGCCCATGAGAAGATTTTGACATGGATATTTAGGCTTATACCCTCAAGTAATAACAACCTACCAGGCTTATCATTAAGCAATATGACTGGATGACCAAACCTATGGGGTTTAGCTCAGCCAAGCTGTGAGTTTTGTTAATGCTTAACTACTTCACTTCATTAGTTGTATCAATAAACTCCAAACTGTCTTATTGGCATATTTTTAATCTTTAGTTACTTCTCTTTATTATTCTTTCATGGCTCAGAGCTGTGGTAGTTCAAGTAGTAGTTCAAGGTGGGCTAAAGTTTAAGTAGAGTAAATTATCCAATTTAGTGCTGACAGGGATTGCTCACTACCCAGGTTCCATCCCTGCAAGCAATAATGAAATTGTCAATTGCAATTTTAAGTGCTTATTTACCACGTGCTTAGTGTCGAAGTGAAAATTTGATGAAGTAACCTGTATTTCTGGGAAATAAAACAAAATTCTACAGCAAACAATTGAAAGTGTGCATTGGAATGACAAATTCAAATTATATATTGTAAGTTAACTGTTACATGACATGCTTTAATTTCACTCTTCCCATTTCATTATGCTATTTTAACGCTAAGACGTGCGATTCATCACCATTTAAAAATAGGTGGGATTGCAGTCAAACACTGGTATAAAGTTAAAAAACTTAATTTATCAATTTGCGCTTTGTCATTTTCTGTTTTTGTGTGTCTTTCATGTTTATTTGCGTTCACGGGCAATAATCAGATAAAATTAAAACAAATTTTATGATTACCAGCGGTCCAACCATACTTTTCCAATTGCTTTCTTGCAAAATCCATATTATATTAAAACAGTATGCTTCAAACATTTAAAAGTTTGTCATTAGATAACAATATCTATTATTCCTTCCTGTTTTTCCTGATTATCTTTCTATATTCCATAGTATATGTTTAAAAAAATACTTAACCTCAAAGCCTAAAATATATTACTTTCCTCTATGGCCTAAAACATATGTCAGTCACAGCCAGTGTTGCCAGATGCCTTGAACCTTTTATCTGTATTAGAAACTGCTAAAATCTGTATTAAATCTGTATGCTATTTAAACTTAAAATTCTGTATAAAATCTGTATAATTTAATAAACCAAACTAGTATAATTGATCATCATCATTGCTTCTTTTGAAAAACAAGGAATAACTACTAACGTGATAAGCTGATAAAGTTTGATTACCGTTATTAAATACAAATATTTTTATAGAATAAGGGTAACAAACGAGCACACAGTACGCCGATAGTAAGTGCATGCTGTGGCCCATAGACATCTACATTTATCCTCGCTTAAGAATCAAAACGCAGATGAGTTGTCACGCCTGAGGACTAAGATGGAATGTCTCGTTTCCCGTAAAAAAGGGTCTCCGGATTTCTACACTCACCATACGAAGCACAGCAGTATTAAGCTGGTAATTTACGCTGGTATTCTGTGAGAACGTGGTCTTCCCCGGGCGAGCTGACTCATTCGTGCTGCAACCATAATATAGCTGCAGCGTGGCTCTACCAAGTATAAAATATACACTATTCACAAAAAAATTTATATAGCAAAATTGAACACATTAATTTAGACAAACAACGTATTAAAACTCAAACATTTGCAACAAACGAACATATAATTAATTTATTATTTTCAGTCACACGTATTTTATATATACATATTATATAATACACTTGTATGTCTGCCGTACTAAGTAGGTAGTCACTTATTTTGCTTCTTCTTTTTAAGTTGAATATTATGCTAACCCAATCAATAGAGTTAGAAAACTCCGTAGACAGAGAAACCTATAGATTAATGATTAGCATGGCCTCGAGTGAGAAAGAACGATAACGTAGTTTTAGGTTATACAATAATCTTTATGACTTTTAAACATATTTAGATAAAATTTTTAATTGTTCTAAGAACTGAACTGAACAAGATTCACCAATCTTAAGCTCACAATATACTTATTTCTCACTTAAACCAACATGTAAACTCCTTAGATCTCTACGAACTGTCAAAGTTGTTTAGCAAAGTGTAGTTTGCTAAATAAAAAACCGGCACGGAGAAAGGGACAAACAATCACACCACTCGTTCTCATTTCTATGCAAGACGTATACATAAATCTATCTTTTTCGTGTGCGAAAGCGAAAGAAGGCGTCAATTTGTCTATAGGTTTCTCTGTCCACGGAAAACTCTGTATCCAGTGCTAATCTGTATCACACACCGAAAATCTGTATAAATACGGGGAAATCTGTATATATGGCAACACTGGTCACAGCGTAGTTGTTTTTATTATTCGCTCGACAGAGCAGGCAAAGGAACTAAGCTATACAGCCTTGTCTTTTTTTTAATTTGAATATATAGAATTTTGAAGTGTAAAGGCCGGAACCAAGTCTTATTTATTTATTTTATTAATAAAGCACACAAACAGATATAAGACAATACAAAACACATTTACAGTAACAAAAATAATGATTTCTTAAGTTTACGCGAACACTACACATTGAATAAAACTAATATTTACGGATTTTATCGCGTTTAAATTACTTTAATTTAATTTTATTATCCCGACGTTTCAGGTGCTTTACGGCACCCATGGTCACTGGGGGCCTGAGATGTTTGACGTCCCAATGTCATAGTTAGTCCGGCTACCTTCAGTTTTTGAATATTAATTTTTGATCCGATTTACGCAAAACGAGCTTATAGTATCATAAAGTCTTGCAGTGGTATGCTTGGGTTTGGGTTTAATCCATGTTTACGACATAAGCCACGCAGAAAACATCTCTGGACTCGTTCAATATTACCTACATGTACTTCGTAATAGGGTGACCAGACTACTGAGGCGTATTCAAGGATCGGTCTCACAAGAGTGTTAAAAAGATATATTAGACTATGGGGTCTCTTGAATTCCTGCATAACTCGTGTAACAAAACCAACTAACTGATAACCAAATTCAAATTCAAATTCAAATTCATTTTATTCATTTGCGATATATGGGTTACAATAGGTCTTAATAATTTAACAAAATACAGCCATATTCTACCTTTCGGTATGCAAACTACTTAAATATTAGATTTTATTTATAATTAAAATTAAATGGAAAATGCCGATAATTACATTAACATAATATAACCCTATTTGTATATTTGCGCTACTAACATAATAATAATTCACAAAATAATGATAAAATACATGTAATAATTAAAATTGTAATGTCCAAGTAATAATATCAAAACGAGTAGGTATAAATTGTCTCAAAATTAATAACATAGATAACGTTTCGTTCAATAAATTTGATAGTTAAAATTTAAAAATTGTCATATAGATAATCGTCAATATTATAATACGCTTTTATGGTTAAAAATGTGTTTAGTTGTTTCTTAAAAAATGTGAAAGCTCTTAGAATCTCTTATATATTTAGGTAAATGGTTATACAGTCGAGGACGATACAGAATACGCTTTTTTGAAACAAAACAGTCTTACTATTGGGATGGCTCAATTTATCTTTATGACGCTGGACATTTAGTTTTTTGTAAAAACTTAAGTTTTGACGTACAAATAAGACTACCTCATATATATATAGACATGGCATTGTTAATAATTTTAAATTAATGAAGTATGGCTTACAACTCTCACTTTGGTTAATTTTACAAATGGCTCGTAAGCATCTCTTTTGAGCTTTAAATACTGTTTCTTTGTCCGTACAATTACCCAGAACATAATACCATATCTAAGTGTAGACATAACATAAGCATGATATGATGCCATTACGGCGGATGTGTCCACAACTTTTCCAAGCATATATAACACATACGAAAAACGATTTAATTTCATACACACACTGCTCACATGAGACTGCCAGTTCAAATTGCAATCTACATTTATACCCAAAAATTTTATATTATCTATGGTATTGATTTTTTGTCCTAGATAATTGATATTTAAATTATTTATTTTATTACGTTTTTGATAGAATGTCATAAGTTTTGTTTTTTCTAAATTTATATTTAAATTATTTATGTTTAGCCAATTCATGATTTTCTCTAAAGCAAAGTGTATGTTACTTTCTAAATCTATTTTGTTTCTGCTAGTGAAAATAACTGTGCTATCGTCAGCAAATAATACTATTTTGTGATTAATGACGTTGGGAAGGTCGTTGATATAAATAAGAAACAACAATGGTCCTAAAACACTTCCTTGCGGTACTCCAGTTTGTACGACTCTGTATTCAGAAACATAGGTCATTTCTTTTCTTGATTTTAGACAAATTTTTGTAATGTGTGTACTTTGTTTTCTGTTAACTAAATATGATGTTAGTAGATCTAGTGCATTACCTCGAATGCCGTAGGCTTCAAGCTTTTTGAGTAATATTTTATGATCAACATAATCAAATGCTTTAGTAAGATCCATGTAAAGTGCACATACAGGTATTTTATTGTTTAGGCTAGACATAACGGTATTAAAAAATTGTATAGAGCCATATTTATAGTCTTATTTTTTCTAAATCCTATTTGTTCTTCTCTAAGAATATTGTACGTTTCAAGGTAGTTATATAAAGAGTTATAAATTATTTTCTCAAATACTTTTGAGAGCACAGGTATAAGCGCAATGGGCCTATAGTTAGACATATTCTCCCGATCATTTTTTTTGAACAGTGGTTTGACAATTGTAGACTTTAGTCTTTCAGGAAATATACCATTACAAATACATAAATTGAAAATATAACTAAGTACCGGAGCAATTGCACCGGATATGTATTTTAGAACTCTTGTACAAATTTCATCACAACCGGTACTGTTTGTGTTTTTAAGAGATTTTATAGCTTTATCTATATCAAATGATGTTGTGGGTGGTATAAAAATTGAATTGGGATTGTTAAAAGTTAACTTATATGGTTTATCTCTATTAGGGCGGTCTTTATTAATTTTGTTGGTATAGAAATTATTAAATGCCCTAGCTATAACTAGAGGATCCTCAATTATATCACCATCAACAATAATTTTACTAATTGCTTCTTCATTTGTGCCATTTTTGTATTTATTTATCACTTGCCAGGTAGCTTTCGATTTATTTTGTGCTGTGTTAATATAGTAATTATTTTGGGACTTTTGGGTAAGTTTGATAATTTTGTTTAGACGTTGGGAATACTCTTTTAATATAGTTTTATTTTCTACGCTGCGTTTTTTTTCTGTATTGCCATAATAACTGTCGTTTACGCTTAGTACATTTTTTTATCCCATTAGATAACCATTTTGTTTGTTTACGTGAATAGACTTTAATTTTAATGTCAGGAAAGCATAGGCGATATAGGAGGGTAAACAAGTCATGAAATTGGTCAAAAGCAAGATTAGGATTTTTTTCCTTATAAACCTCGTTGAAAGTGAGAGAGCTCAAGTAATACCATAACCATAACCACGTTGCGTTAAGTGATTTAAATGTTGCTTAAAATCCAGTTTAGAGTCAAAGATAACGCCCAAATTTTTAGCAACATTACTTTCAGACAAAGGTTGATCATTGATATGGTATGTATACTTTAGACGAGTTTTTTAGTTGTGAAAGTTACAAAAAACATTTAGTTATATTCAAATGCATTCTATTATTAGAACACTAGGTAGGTCCCGTTGCAACAAGAGGTAGTCATTAACATCATCGATTATACGGAAAACTTTTATATCGTCGGTATATAGTAAACATTCACTTGTGATATGGTCTACCAAGTCATTAATAAATATAATAAACAAAAGAGGGCCAAGATGAGACCGTTGAGGAACCCCGGATGTTACATGTACTGGTTTGGAGAGGAAACCTTT